TCACTCATTCATTTTGATTCTTTCATAAGTGGAATTGTTTTCTTAGGTTTTTTTTTTTTCTGAGCTGTTCACTTTAGTGTGTAGAAGCAACCCTTTTTTTCTGTTGCTTTTGTAGCCTGCAGCTTTGCTGAATCCATTTCTTGGTTATCATGATTTTCTTATAAATCTTTAGGATTTCCATATCTGAGATCTTGTCATCTACGAGGAATCTTCTTCCTCTCCAGTGTGGATGTCAATTGTTCTGTCCCAATTGTGGGGCTACAAGTCCCAGTGCTGTGTGCAACAGAGGTGACAAAAGCGAGTGCCTTTGGTTCCTGAGCAACAGCGAGGCTTCCAGTCCACTGTTTGTGAGCTGTGAGCTTTTCACATATGGAATTTCGTATCTGGGGTAGTTTTCTTATATTTAATACTTTATTTTTCTCATGAAAAAATGTTGACTCTTGTCAATAATCATGTGTTTCTCCTTTATTCTGTGAATACGGAATATTATCATATTGACATTGAGTTTTATGTTGAACCACCCTGTTCTGGCAGTAGGTTTCCCGTGGCCATCATCTGTAAACCCTTAATGTGCTGATGAGTTTGTTTTGCATCAGATTTCATCAGTGATACAGATCTGTAATGCCTTCAGTCTGACTTTGGTTATGAGTAATGTTTCCCTGAGAATGGCTTTAGATGTTGTTGTTTGGATATAGCTTGATTTTGTTCTTCAGTGGCTTGAGTATTATTGCTAGAAGATGGGTCCCAATCTGGTTGGTATTAGGAGGTGGTATGGAACATTTAAGAGGTGTGACCTAGGAGGTCCTTAAGTCTTTTGGGGATATGCCCTCAGAAAGGACTGAGGCCATAGTTTTTATCTGCTTTTCTCTTGAACACATCCCTGCCTCTGCTGTCCTGTATGCCATGAGGCCCTCATCAGAGCCAAGCTATTGCTGGATCCACGCCCTGGAATCTGCAGAACTGTGAGCCTAATAAACCACTTTGTGGGCAGGAGAGATGACCAGCAGTTTAGAGAGAGCACTTGCCCTTGCACAGGACCCAGGTTTTGTTTTCCAGCATCCATATGATGGCTCACAACTATCCATAGCTCCAGTTCCAGGGGATATGACACCCTCTCCTGGCCTCCACATTCATACAATCCTTTTTATTTCTGTAAAGTCAGCTGCAGTGGCCCCTCTGTGGTTTCTGGTTTTACTCACACCAGTTTTACGGTTTTTTTTTTTTCCCCAGTGTTCCTAAAGGTTTGTTGATAGTCATGGGAGCAAACTTTTAAATATGTTTGTCTGTTCTATTAATTCACTTACATGTGCTCTCAAATTTATCATTTCCATTTCTGCCAGCTTCAGTTTGTTTCTTTCCCTACTATGAAAAGTTAGGTTGATTTGAGATCATTCTTCAATCTTCAGGCTTTGACCAGCCTGCATATGAATGTCATAGCCTCACCTGTGTATGCTGGTGCTTGAAGGGATTTTCTAATATTCTTTGAAAATTGAGTAGTTTGAATTTATTACATTTTGGTTCTTTTTTTAAAAATTATTTTTGTATGTTGTATGTGTGTCCTCTGTCTGCTATACACTTGCAGGCCCGAGGAGGGCATCAGATCCCATTATAGATGGTTGGGAGCCAGCATTAGTTGCCAGGAATTGAACTCAGTACCTCGAGAAGAGCAGCCAGTGCTTTTAACCACTGAGCCATCTCTTTAGCCCCTATATTTTGGTTCTTGAATGTCCCTGAAAGCTTATGTTGAAGGCTTGTTTGGTCCTGTGTCTGTACAACTGGGAGGTGGTAAAACCTTTAGGAGATGGTCCCTGGCAGAAGGTCATGGGGTGTACTTGTGACGGGAATACTGGGAACTGAGCCCTTTCCTCTCTTTGCGTTCCTGCTTCTTTGAATTGAAGTCTGGTGTTGCCCTCCGCTGTGTGCTTTAACCGGGACATACTGTTTACCAACGCCCAGGGCACCTGGGCCAGCCAGTGTGGAAAGTGCTGGAGCTGAGCAGAGCAAGCCCCTCAAGTTATTGTGGGCATTGTGTTCCAGGGCCAGGAAGCAGACTCTGTTTGTGCTTAGTTCATACAGATTTAGTTTCTAGCTTCAGCCACTGTTACAGAAGACACTTTATGATTTCATTCTTCTTGAACTTGTTAAGATTTGTGGTATACCATGATTTGTTCTGGAAAATGACCTGGCTGCATTTGAGAGAACTATTTATTCCTCTATTATTGGGAGTTGTATCACTCAGTTCCAGTTCATCTGTCCCCCGTTTTCTTATTGATCTGTTTAGTGACTATACATGACTGAAAGTAAGATACTGAAGTTCCTGCTCTTACTGTAGAGACCCCTCCCTTTGAATATGTTCGTGTTTGCTTCTTAGGTTTAGGCATGCTTATATTTGATGCACCTGTCACAACTTAAGAGAATGGACCCTTTTGTCAGGATGTAATATTCATGCCTCTTCATAATTCTGACTGGGGAACAGCTCTACAGACATCAGACAAAAATAGGCTAATTTCTTTTGGCTACTATTTCTTTGGATTATCTTCTTCCATCCATGGTGCATGTCTTTAGAGCCAGTCAGTTACCTACAGGCAGAATACCTACAGTCGGGTGCTGTTCTGTCTTAAGCCATCTTTTCCAGCTTGTGCATTTTTAGTTATCTATAGGTAATTACGGATAAGGACAGGCTTCTTGCCGACATTTCACTGTTTACTGTATGTCTTGTTTTGGTCTCGTATCCTTTACCTAGTTTTTCTGTTTGCCTATCATTTGTTCTATAGCAATTTTGTCATTGGTAATGTTTTATGCTGTAAAGTTAAAGGAATCTATTTTAAGCGGTAAATTAACCTCATCATTTGCAAACTACAGTCTTACAGTTCTGCTTCCCCAGTTGATGTCACCCTTCACTCAGCTGTACAGTAGGCTCATTCGCCTGTGGTGCTGTGGATTGTACCCATGGAGTTTCTACCTGGCTTTTGCTTGATGGGTAACTCTCTTGCTGCCTCCTTGGTTTCTAGAGTTCACAAAGTGACTGTTTCAGTGCTAGGACGTGGGCCTGGAGCTTCCTCACTGGCCATATTGATAGCATCACTCAGTCTTTTTCTTTCTCTTTACAGCCATTTATACTCACCATGCTGTTTTCTATATCCCTTGTTTTCTCCTTTTAAACAAATGTATTTGTAGAATCCTAGCTCCTTCTGTCATCGTCTCCTTACTGCAAGTACAGATCTTCCGGGACCTAGTAACTTTTATTGGCCTATTTTACTGAGATCATGGGTTTGCTGCCCTTGCCATTGCTGTAGATGAGTTCTCTGCTTAGCTCTTTAGAATAACCTCTCACAGGCTCCTGGAACTCTCACCCTGGATGTGATACTTGTCTGCCAGTGGTTTAGTGAAAGTGCATGTGCAGACTTTGAGGCTCTTTCTCCAATTTCCCATCTGAAGTCTGTAGTATCTTGGCAGTCCGATCTCTCTCTTCAGCCCCACAGGACTCCACTGTAAACCGCACACTGGAAAGTCCTGTCCAAAAGTAGTTTAATATGTAGCTCTTACCTCAGAGGGCCAACCATGTTCAGATTCTGCTACTAAAAGTTCTGCAAATTTACATTCCTTAGAATTCAGTCATTTTTTAAAAGAAATTTTGAAAAAAAAAATTTAAGAAGGTAGCTGTAGTTATTTAGTAAAGAACAATCTTATATTTCAACTAAAAATTTCTTTTGTAGGATATTGCAAATGAGGACCACCAAAAAATTGAAGTGTTAAAATCAGAAAACAAGAAGCTAGAAAGACAAAAAGGAGAATTATTGATAGGGTTCAAGAAACAATTGAAATTAATTGACATTTTGAAAAGGCAGAAGGTAAGTCTAACAGCAGAAGCTACATAGATATGCTGTAGATCTTCCTGCTATAAAGTTTAGGGTTGCTTTGTTTAGAATATTGTACATAAAACTATACCTAAAGATGCACTGTATACATGTAAAGTCACATATGTATAATACACTGTATACATGTAAAGTCACATACACTGTATACATGTAAAGTCACATATGTATAATACACTGTATACATGTAAAGTCACATATACTGTATACATGTAAAGTTACATATGTGTAATATACTGAGCCTATATATATATATGTGTATATATATATGGTTCTTCCCAACTTTAGAAAGTATCATACAGGAGAATGACTCGTTTTAGTGGATTATTTCCCTTTTCAAACTTTGAACAGTAATTCCAAAGCACACTGCACCGTTTTTGAAATGTGACAAAAGACAACTCACACAGTTCTCACTTTATTTCAAAGGTCAGGTAAAATAATAGTGAATTATTCTTTTAACAGTAGTTTGGTCTTAAGTGTGATGCCCATTTAAAATGTTACACTTGGCATTAGGTGTACTGGTGCACGCCTTTAATCCCAGCAGAGGCAGGTGGATCTCTGTGAGTTTGAGGCCAGCCTGGTTTCCAGAGTGAGTTCCAGGACAGCCAGAGCTGTTACACAGAGAAACCCTGTCTTGAAAAACCAAACCAAACAAAAAATAACAAAGAAAATACGTGCATAATTAGAGTATGTGTCCAACAATGGGGCTTGTTTAGTGATAGCATATTATCACAAACTTACAAGTTTCCTGTTGTGTGGCTTTCTCTGAATCAGACATGGATTTTTTTAAACAGATGCACATTGAAGCTGCCAAGATGCTGTCTTTCAGCGAGGAAGAGTTTATGAAGGCTCTCGAGTGGGGCAGTTCATGAGTGAGCAACTTCAACGTGACGCTTGTTTGTGAGCGTTTATCCAACATCGAATTGTAGTGTTTCTTTGCTGTACATGAGTAATGAGATGTTTGTGAAATAAAAAGTTCAGGGATCAGCCTGCTGAAATAAACCGTGTTTGGGAGAACATTCTAAGGCAAGGCCAGACTACACTACTGGCCTTACTCCCTTTTTCTTTGATAGTTGTACCATAAAGAAGCAAGACTTTGACTTTTAATTCTTTTTTTATAACCCATTAGATGCAGCATAGGGCAGAACAAGACTCCAGAGATACTCTACCTCTCCAATTAGAGAACCTGACAGAGGTAGGATTAGTCAGGGTCTCTATTGATTTGACAAAACACCATGGCCAAAAATCAAGGTAGGGAGGAAAGTGTTTATTCGACTTACACTTCCACATTGCTGCCCATCATTGAAGAAGTCTGGGCAGGAACTCAAACAGGGCAGGAACCTGGCGGCAGGAGCTGAGGCAGAGGCCATGGAGGGGGGCTGCTTATTGGCGTGTTCAGTCTGTTTTCTTATAGAACTCAGGACCACCAGCCCAGGAATGGCATCACCCACCATGGGCTGGACCCTCCTCCATCAATCACTAAGAAACTGCCCTACAGCTGGGGCTAACGGAGGCATTCTCTCAACTGAGGGTCCTTCCTCTCTGATGACTCTAGCCTGTGTTGACACACAGCCAGCTGCTCCATAGAGTGGGTAAACAAATTCATGATGCCTCTAAAAGACTCATTTAACAGAAAAGACCCTGAATGTGGAGGGATGGCAAACATATAGTCTATGAAAATGGGAACTGCCAGGAGAATAGCACACACCTTTAATCCCCGCACTTGTTAGGTAGAGGCAGATGGATCTCAAGAGTTCGAAGCCAGCCTGGTCAACTAAGGGAGTTCAAGGACAGGTAGGGCTACTCAGAGAAACCCTGTTTCAAAAAACCAAAAAACCCTCAAAAAAAAAAAAAAACCAAAACAGGAACCAAGAGAGAATGGGTACTTAAAATAGATATTATGTCAAAAGCTATAAAAAGAGGGAAGAAAACCTTACATAATGGTAAAAGGATTAAGTCATCAACAGTAACGGTGGTGAGCATGTATCTAGCAACAACAAAACTAAAATACATAGACATCTGCAAAAAGGAAAGACATACTGCAATATTAGAACGGTAGAAGACAGCTCTTACCCCATATCCAACAACAGACCAGACAGAAAATCAAAACAAAAACTGAACTTAGCTGTAGCCCAGTTAAAGAGTGCCTGCCAGGATACACAAAGCTCAGAGTTCAATCTCCAGCACCTCATAATCTAGTTTGGTGGCCCACACCCATGATCCCATCAGCCAGAAGCAGACACAAGAGGGTAAGAAGTTCAAATCATCCTCAGGCAAACAGCAAGTTCAAGGCCAGCCTGGGATACACAACACTTTGTGTCCAAAAACCACAAAGAAACACACTGAACTGAATTTATACTTTAGACTAAATGAGCCTAAAAAGACACAAAACACTCTCTCCAACGGCATAATATATACCTTCTCCAATCTATAGAACATTCTCCAGAACAGACCACCTGTCTTAACAAATTTAAGAAGACATATTGAATCTTTCTGGACTTCGATGGTATAAAAAATAGACCAACAAGAGGAACTTCAAAACTTTACAAACACATGCAAATTATGCCGCACGATCCTAAATAACCAGTGGGTCAAGAGATAAAGCAAATTTAAAACTTTTTACACAAGCCGGGCGATGGTGGCGCATGCCTTTAACCCCAGCACTCGGGAGGCAGAGGCAGGCGGATCTCTGTGAGTTCGAGACCAGCCTGGTCTACAGAGCTAGTTCCAGGACAGACTCCAAAGCCACAGAGAAACCCTGTCTCAAAAAAAAAAAACAACAACAAAAAAACTTTTTACACAAAATGGGAATGCAACAAATGCCTATAGAAGAAGAAGGTGTCATCTTAGCACTGCAGAAATGCCCAAGTAATGTACTAAAGCCAAATCCAATCTGGTCAGTGCAAGAAAAACAGGAAAGATCAAAGAAGAAATAAATTACAAAAATAATAGAGGTCATGCAGCCCTAGCCTGGGTCTGGAGAACCTAGTTGTTCTGTTACTGGTTTGACACCATAGGTGTAAAATACCAAATCTGACTTCACGTGACAGGTTGCAAGCAAAACACCGGTTAACCAAAAGTCATGCGTAAGATCACCTCCAGGCTATGAGTATAAGGTATATTATTAGACATAAACAAAGGCCAGTGGAATAGTTCAGTAGAAAAGGCACCTGCCACCAAACCTGCCACCTTGATTCAGTGGGACCTGATCCCTGGTGGAAAGGAAGCCAACTCCTGCAAGCTGTCCTCTGACTCCCAAATGCAACCATAACAAGCACAGGTCACACCCACACTCACAAATAACACTAAGATTAAGGATTAAAGACTTTAATTTCTAAAATAAATAAAAGGATTAATGCTAGCTGGGCATGGCGGTGCGTGCCTGAAACTCTGGCGTCCAGGAGGCTGAGGAATGAGGGTCAGCAGTGTGCTGCTAAACAGAGCTTGATGCCAATGCGTGCGATGTGAGTTACTGTCTCAGAGGTTAAATCCCTTTCTCAAGACATCATGTGTATTTTAAATATTCCAAAATCAAAAATCAACAGCTACAACAAAATATCCCAACTTCTAGGCCAAGCAACTGCAGATACAGCATATACTCAACCCATATGAAAGAGCTAGCTGTCGAAAGAAAGTAACTTTTAGCCAACAAAGAGAAAATGCCTAATTAGAGATGAAGAAGGGGACATGTCCATTGTACCATATACAAAGGATCATAAGAGTGTTATAAATTTAAATTATCTATAAATAATTGGGGTTACACAGAATAAATTAATTTCTGGAGATATACAACCTACCAAGAATTAACTGTGAAGAGATAGAAAAATCTGAACAGACCCATGGTGAGAAAGGAGGTCAAGGAGCTCAAACAGATAATAGAAAGTCCCGTTGGAAGCTGAAGAGGTAGCTCAGTGGTCAAGTGTTCCTGCTACTGCAGAGGACCCAAGTTCAGTTCCCAGCACACAGGGCAGCTCACAACTACCTATGTAACGCCAATTCAAGAGACAAGTAAACAAAATCAAAGCAACAACTTCCCACAGTCCAATATCCCAATCAACTCAGATGCAGAAATCCTCATCCTGACCCCAGCAGGCAACTCCAACAGTGCATAGGAAGCTCGCTCTCCATGACGAAGTGGGCTCATTCTAGATGAGTCAGCGTTCAATCAATAAGCATGTCATATTGACAGAACAAAGAAAGTTTGTAACAGCACAAGACTGAACAACATTTTATAACAAAAACTGCCAACAAAGTAGGCTACAGAAGGCATGTACTTCAACATACGACAGACGCACAGCTAACAACACACCGAACAGGAAAAGCTGACGCTTGTCCTCACATGACGTTTGTGTAGCCACTAAAGTTCACACTAGAGAACTGCGCAACAAAGAAAAGAAACACAAACATTTTGCATGTTTTAAGGTTGCTATTTGTGTTGGGCTGCATTCATACTTATCCTGACCACATGCCAGGTTGGCCATACCTAGAAGACCTAAAATCAGACAGTTAGGAGCACTGGCTGCTTGCTCTCGCAGAGGACTCAGGTTTGGTTTTCAACACCCATATAGTGGCTCACAACCATAACAATGTAACTCCAGTGGATATGATGCCCATTTCTGGCCTTCTTGAGCACTGCATGCATGTAGTACACACACATGCAGGCAAACACATGTAAAATGCTTTTTTTAAATCACAGCAGGAGCGCCAGAGAGATAACTGGCAAGAGAAAGAAAACACTGCTTCTGCTTGGCCTCGGTGGGTCTATGGGATTCTGTGACATGACGCCATCGTAGAATGCACAATGAATAATCCTTCGGTTAAACTACTGACGTGTTTAATTTTTGTCTAACTGTTTATAAATGGAGAAAGAGGAGGATGTTTTAGAACATGCAGACACTGGGGACTCACTGTCACCAACTGGAAGAGAGCAGTTACACTGACATCTAGTGGTAGCATCTGAGAAATTCAGGTTTCATCCATCCTGCAGTGCTGATCACTTCTCTTCACTGGCTTCCCCTCTTTTCTGATAGGCTTTCTTAAACTCCTCACCGAGCATGTCAACGTCGTCCTCTCTTTTAAACACTCCCTACAAAAAAAAAAAAAAAAGCATTTTGTTGGTTACTTTTGAATGTGAGAGCATTTCACTGAATGCTTTTAGGGCTAACTTGCGGGGACACAAAGCTAAAAAAGTTATCCAAGATAATGAAATCCATCCGACAGATTAATGAAACTTAATTAAAAAATATTAGTACTTTCAAAAGACTATGTCTTCAAGTATATCCTGACTATTCTTGAGCTGCCCCAATGTCCTGATTTGTCACCTTCGGAGTGGAAAGGGCATACAGGCACAGACCCAGAACATCTAGCTGCAACTATGACCGCCTACATTGCCTGGAGGGAGTGGAGCTTTGTGCCTACTGTACTCTACCCTTGTCTAAATGGGCTGTCATAGTGCATGGGGTGGGGTGGCAAGGGTGAGAAGGCTGGCCTGGGCTACATTACTGCATGGTTACATTCTTCATGCCTCAGTTCGAAGCTCATTTTGGGACATTGAGTTTAACTCTAATAGGTCCTGTCTGCCCTACAGACTATTTTCTCAGTACAATGTTGAAATCCAAAAGTCTTCTTAGCATTCATAGTCTGTTTTATTAAACAGAGCAGTCATAGTGGGTTTTAGCATCCGTCTATCATTCTGCATTAAATCTGCCTAACTAATTAGACTGTAAGACCCTGAGACCAGGAACTTTTAATAACTTTTCTTCTCCTTTCATTGGTTAGGGACTGAACACAAAACACACATTTGATTCTGCAGTCAATAAAGGCCTCAAACAATATGACTTGTGTATTCGAATGACTATGGCTTTATGAATCCCCGTGTTTATATGAACTAGGAAGCGCGTTATTAGCAGTCATTATGTGTCTCGGATACACATGAAAATCCACTGTTTACAGCACGGTCTCATGTCAAGCATGTGTGTCTCCAATGACAAGGCTTCCATGTTTATCATCGTCTTCAATGTTGGCTCTAGGGTAGTTTGTTTTTAGATTTCTCATGCAACAAGGAGAAGAAAGAACCTCAAAAATATTAGCTCAGGGACTGGGGATGTAGCTCACTGCATAAAGCACTTCCCCAGTGTGTACAAGGCTCTGGGTTAGATCCCCAGCACTGAATAAACTTGGCAAAGTTAACCACAGTCCCAGCTCTCAGGAGGTAGAAGCAGGGAGGACCAAAAGTTCAAGGTCATCCTCAGCTACAGAGCGAGTTCCAGGCCAGCCTGCACTAGACCTTGTCCCAAAAAGTAAGCAGGCAAGTAAATAATAATAAATAAAAAAAGAAGTTCAATAACTCTGGCTCGAATAGCTACTTATGTTCCAAGACCAACTCTTCCTATGGAGGTGTTTAGAAAGGACTATGGGGCTTCAGCCCGAAAGCACATGAAGTTAGACCCTCCGACATCTAGAGTCGGGCTGTTGTTTCCTCCATCATTACAAGTCATGAAGATCACACACTAAAGTAAGCTCTCACTCACTTTGGGAAGGTAGCCTAGTAATTTTGCAGCATGTTCCTTGAGGAGTCTCAGCCTTTCTTCTTCAATAATCTCATTGATGCAGCCTTGCCGTCTTTGCTGTAGCTGCAATTCCTCCAGCTCGCGTTTCTGGAAATGAAGTAAAAGTGTCTTAACTGTCACAAAATACATTAATCTCTTATGAAGTTTACAAAGCAAACTGTTCTTGCAGAGAACTGAATGACAAGCTGATGGGTTCATTGTAAGTATAGAAGACAATAGTGTATGACTTTTACATTTACAAATAGACATACCTGTATTTTTTAATAAAAAGATTAATTTTTATTTTTATTTATTGTATATCCTGGCCATAGTCGCCCCCCATTCTCATCCCCTAATCCACTCCTCCTCCTTTCTGCGTAGGAAAGGACAATGTACCTGTATTTTCATCATCGTTGTTTCTTTAAACTTTTAAGAACAAGTTATGTCCCACCTACATTTTTGGTTTTCTTTATTTAGTAGTGTTGGTGTTTGGACCCTGGACCCTGCACCTACTGGGCACACACTCTATTACTGAGCTACAATCCTAGCTCATATGACAGGAAGTTTTAAAGAGGCAAGTGTGCATTTTTAGAAAATTTTTCAATCTCAAGAAAAAAAAATGTATTCAAAAGAGCAATTCCCTAATAAACTTAGCAAATATTTATGGAGTTCCCACCATATACCAGGTACCCAATACCCAAAACTGTTTACAGTATGTGAGCCAAAAAAAAAAAAAAAAAATTCTAGTGCATGAAACAGACCAGGCTTGTCTGAGGGTCCATTTTCCACATGTAGATGTGGAGCACTGCAGAGGCTGGAGGCCAGCAGAGGCCAGCAGAGGCCAGCAGAGGCGCTCTAGTGCTTCCCTTGAGAATCCCGAATTCTTTGACGGCCCTGAGCCTTCAGTGCAGATGTGATGCTGTCTGAATAGTCTTAAGGCCCTTAGGGACACACGGAACTTTACCCAAATAAGACCACTGAACAAGGTCTGCAGTGGTGGGAACGGAACTTGGGGTTCCACACAGGCTACCTAAGAACGCTACCACTGAGCCAAAGCCCAGCCCCGCTTACGGCATTTTTATCAGATGAGGTAGCCTCTCTAACTTGGGCACAACACAAGGTTTCCCTTCTTGTATCGTGCTCCCCACACTGTGTTCATCCCGTGTCACAAACTCTACAGTGAGTTAGCGCATGTGGGACAAGACCTGAAATGATGGCCAGTAAGAAATGCCTTGGGGAATGTTTAGGATTTTGTCTAAACCACACAGATTCTTAGAGGTAGACAGGATGACAGACGCCTGCTTAGGCTCTCTTTAAAATATAAATGGGCACTTTAGTGTTTTCAGGGCGACACGGCATCATGAACTGTTAAGACATCCACATCTGCAAACTGTTGTCATTTCTACAGCGTAAGTTGTGTCTTTGTGTACTGGGTGGCTGTCGTGCTTCCGTGTGTACATGTCTTGCTGGGTGACCTATGAGTGTTCTCGGCTCTGTAACCCCTAGAGAGGCCAATCCCATCACCGGTCCTACCCTTTTACAGGAGAGAATCCAAAGCGTCTTCCTCTTCTGCCTTCTTAATTACTGTGCTCACAGTTATTGCCTTCATCAACTCAACTTTATAAATATTTAGCACGTGTCAGGCAAACTGCACTTTATAGATCATTATCTCCCCTAATGGCTAGATTCGGGCCGAGACCGACTTACACCCTGCCTGAGCAATGGAGGCTTTTATTTGATTAAGAGCCCACTGAGGCTTAAGTGTGAAAAGGACATGATAATTATAAAAGCCACTGACTGGCAGACTGACCAGTTACAAGGAGACCAAGCAGAAATGTCAGGGAGCAGAAGACCCCTCTGGCCTCTGGCTTTCTGTGGTTATACCATTTACAGTCTTTTAGCTTTTTGAACATGTTTTAGTCTTTCCTTCCTCCTCATCTTGAAACTACAATGTTCTCCAAGACTCAATCCTAAGCCCCCTGATGCTTTCTTGCTATTACACCGTCTCACATAAATCCCTTTGTGCTACTTACTTCCAGGTAAGCACTTCTCAAACAAACAAAAACAGCCTAAGCTTCCCTCTAAAATGTAACTCCACACGTGTTCCTTGAGTTTGACATACTTGGGATGTTTGGATTACTTTGCTTCCTTCCTTCCTCTAACCTATATGCAAGGGGGAAAATATCATACACAGTTTCATTTCCTTTTTTTAAGAAAGGAATATTCAAACTCTCTCTGTGGCCTCCCACTGCTGCTGTTTCCAGTGCACGTCTGCTGCGCACTGCACCTCTGTGCCTAGGAAGCTGCACTTGCCACACTCGGATGCGCCATCTTTTTAAAGCCCTTACACACGGCTATGCCAGGTGCTTCAAACACCCGCTCAGTCACACACACCATTTGGGTATTCTTTCCTCTTTGTCAATGGAACATAAATATTTAAGTCGGAATGTCAAACTTACAGTCTGGTTCCCTGTCTAATTCCTAAACTACGTTTCTAACAATTCACCTCTTTAGGCCACAAAAATCAGCGTGAACAAATACCTACTCCTTCAAAATCTACTTTTCCCTGTACATATCTCTAGGGCACGGCCTTCTCACTGAGGAGGGAGGTGACTATCTTTGTGATCCGTAGCGACCCCTCCAGGCTTACCTTCCCCCCATGGTCAGTGCTGATGTCCGGCCTCTGTCTGCACACTCTACCTCTTCTCCCTGAGGTCCAGTGCACTGCCCATGGTTTCCCCAGCTCAGCATCACCCATTTCACACCTTCCCTTATTGTTGCCACTTGAGTCACCTTTCCACACGCCAACCTTAGCATGCAGCTTTCCTAATTCTTCAGTGACTTCTTGCGGGGACGGGAATCCATCTTAATATACAGAGGTATCATAATGTGGAATTCCTCTCTGCTATACCAATAGCTCCATGTCATTACCATCACACATGAAATCTAATTTATGTTTTTCTCAACCAAGACTGTAAATTCATAGATGACATAGATGTTGCTACATAAAAGCCTCACAACCAGTTTCTAGATGCCTTAATAAATGATTGCTCAGTAAACTTATGGATCATATGATTAATAAACAAATATTAACATAGCATGACACCTAAATGGCTCAGTGGATAAAGTGCTTGCCACACAAACACGAGGACCTGAGCTCACATCCCCAGTACGCGGGTGAAAGCAGGTGTGCAGAGACAGCAATAAGAGAATCCCCGGAAGCTGCGGGCTGTCTGGCCTCCAGGACATCTACAGCACAACTCCAGAGACCCTGCCTCAAACTGAAGGAGAGAACCACGCGTGCAGTTGTCATCTGCTCCTCACACACACAGTGGCGCTCAGCAAACGTTTACTGATGAACAGAAGAGCTGGCTGCTGTTCAGTGAGGACCGAAGAACCCAGTGCTCTCCTTACTTTGTCTGCAAGGAACTGGCTGCGCCGCTCCTCGATGAGTTTCTCCACGGCCCGCTTGTGCTCCAGCTGCTTCATCCGCTGTCTCTGGGCATTCATGAGCTCTATCCGGTCGTCTTCAGCGAACTTGGCCAGCATGGCTTTTCTGAAGGTCTCCTCCTCCTCTTTTGCGGCCTGTAGTATTATTTCCTTCAGGGCCATTTGGTCTTCAAAGTCTTGCTTCATCGCCCTCTGCTTCCGCAGTTTCTGCTCTGCTTCTTCCTGCACAAGGATGGAGGAGAGTTAAGCTTTTCCTTGCACATTAATGAGAGGGCAATCTCGGCACACAGGGGACAGAAGCAGGAGGATCCGGGCCCTGAAGCCAGCCTGGGCTGGTGAACCTGTCTTGGGAAACAAGATAAATGAGAAGGGCAGATTTGGGTTTGATACACATTATACTATGGCATCATATAAACAGAACTAAGCCTTTTCATGACAACACTCTGTCCCACTTAAGTCTATCTGAATAAAATGTCATGTTATTTTTACTTATATATGTTCTATCATCTGTCTATTCAACTAGAACTGGCACAAATTTTAACTCATCTTTTCTAACCTGATCATTTTTGCCCAATCCCAGCACAAACCCTAGTCACCTAACATCTGTACGTTCAAACCCTTACCGTCTGCACCCACCACTGCACTCCATGTAACATGTGCCTTCCCACTCCCTTCTGAAAACAACAACACCACCCCTCAAAGACACACTTTCTTCTCTGGGCTCTGGGCACACGATGTTGATACTCAATGTTTTGCACTTACTTGCCACATACTGCAGACATCAAAGGCTCGGAGAAGACAGTGGAGTTTGTGATATTGAGTCTGGAATGTGTCTTGAGTTTATCACAGACCTATGCACACAGTAATGTGCTCCATCTAGTACTAGCTCTAACACACACACACACATGATATTGGCAGTCCTGGGACTCTACCACCTATGCAAAATTTTATGTAATTCAACAGTGAAGACATCTTGAAAGAAAAAAAGAGGGAGGTGTTTGGCCAAAGTACTGTTGTACCGTGAAAATGTCCACACACCCTCTGCTAGGTCTGTAATAAGGACTGTACTAGTTTGTTGGAATAGGAGCGGCGGTGGGGCTGCGTCCCCAACACCCCGGCTGCTTGGCTAGCTCATGCCCGAAATAACAACACGCAAACTGTATTCATTTAAGAACTGCTTGGCCCATGAACTCTAGCCCTTACAGGCTAATTCTCGCACCTGGACTAGCCCATTTCTAATAATGCGTGTAAGCACCCCAAGGTGCGCTTACCGGGAAGATTCTAGCCTAAGTCCATAGTGGGTTGCAGCTGCCTGGGAGAGCAGAGCATGGCGGCTGTCCGGTCCCTCTGGAAGCAGCGCAGAGTCTGACCTCACTTCCTCTTCCGCCCAGCATCCTATTCTGTTTATTCCGCCCACCTATCTTTTAACCTATCAGGGCCAGCAGTTTCTTTATTGCTCAGCCAATGAAATCAACAGATTGATATGACACTCCCACATCACTAGTTATCAGTATGAGCTGCCACACTTCCTGCTAAACCTTGTTACATGGACTCGAAAACCTTCGAATCATTTGTTGTACATAACTGGGCGGTGGTGGCACACACCTTTAATCTCAGCACCTGGGAGGCATAGGCAGGTGGATCTCTGAGTTTGAGGCCAGCATGGTCTACAAGCGAGTTCCAGGGCTACAAAGAGAAAACCAGGGGAAAAAAATCATTTGCTGCAGTCACTCTGACCCCAGCAACTTTGCAGAGATTCTTTAGGCTCTCTGTCAGAATCACAGCACTAACAAGGAGGCGTGTGTAGAAACTGTGTACTGTTTTATGGAGACAAGTCTAAGGAAACAGCGGTGAGAAACAGAGTGTAGCAGAGAGGAAGAAAAGCCAACACAGGGCATGTAGGGAAGATGGTCACCCGTGGGCACGGAGGCCGTCCTCTCAGGACCTTCCCTGGCAGACACAGAGGAGCGATCACTCATCAGTAACTGTCCACTTGGTGAGGGATGGTGACAACTCGTTCCCACAGTGGAGAGGTGCCAGCATGGTCACTCTAAGCTCTTACAAATGTACCCCGCAGCTGTCCCTGAACGGCACCAACGTGATGAACTTCCGAGAATGCTGCCCAGGACAGCAGCTGAGCTCACGAGGCCCCACCACGTCATCCATTCAGAGCATTCTTGAGCACTCTGACACAGCCGAAGGCTCAGACAGCACCGTGTTTATGCACATCAGATGATGGACACGCAGGCTACCTTCGTGTTTTAGCGATCAGAAATACTGTTCTGAACATCTGTGTATAAACACAAGATCATTCATTTGTACCTATCGCTTTCCAAGACTGTACGTAAGATAATACTTTCCACTAACCTCTGCTATGTCCCACGTGTTTTTCTACATTTTTAAAAATTATTATCATTCAGTGGGAAGTATCTTTCCTTTGCTCATTGCTTTTCTACAAACACATGGCTTCATTACTGTATACTTTAGGACTAGACAGTCACTCTCATTACTGATTCTTCACTGTAGAGAGAAAACAGACTGGATATGACAAGATCTTGTGAATGCAGAGGTTTGCTTTGTGTCCTAGGAGCAGTTTATTGGGTGGAGTCTTCTCTAGCGTGGGCTGGCCCAGCCCGATCACGCTCTCGTTAGGCAGTGGGCTCTGCTGCTGAGGACTCGGGCATACCAATGGCAAAGGACTGCTGAGTCTCCTACTCGGGTTGAGCTATTTCTACTCCCCTCCCCGCCACCCCTCAGTTTTGTCTCGTGTATCATGAAGTTGTGCTGTTAAAATTCATGTGTCTTAGGGTTATCACAGTTACCTGGATAGATTTATTTTGATTAAAAACGTCCCTGCCCCGACGTTAACTCCGTCTCATATTAACACACACACTCCAGCCTGCTAGCATTCACCGGTACTGAGTCTCCCTCCATACTGCCCTGGGCTTCCTTCCATGAGCGCTCAGGTAAGCTGTGTGGACTGTGAACAACACAGCCGCATCGTGTTCTTCAGGATGCTCTGCTTTTACCAAGCTTGAGATCTTAGTCTTTTGACTGCAGTATCTACACTGCCTACCAACAGCGCAGTCACTAACGTGGCTGGGTTTGACCACGCTATCCTCCCACGATTTCATCTCAGAATCCTCTCCCCAGTCACTCCCCTGGCCCTGAGACTCACCTTCAGTTTCTGCTTCAGGATCTCGGCCTGCTCCTCCTGGTACAGCTCTTGCCGCACCTGCTCCAGGTCCTCGCGCTGCCGCAGCATTTCCTCCAGTTTCTGGATCAGCTGTTAGGAAGACACGGTCAGAAGACGGGAACTGGGCGGCGGATTCAGGGGCTCAGGGCTCTTTAAAAAGCAGCCATTTCCATACCAGATTCTGGCGCTGGGCCCTCTTTTCCTCAGTCTCTTGAACTCTGGCCATCCGCTCGCCTTCTCTCTGCTGCTGTAGGCTGGCGAACTCTATAATTTTCCTGTTCTCCTCCTCCATCTCCTCACGCTTCTTCTGTCTCCAGAGGGCTTGCTCCCGCTGGAACTCCTCAATGTACTTCTTGGTTGTGGTCAGTTTCTCTAATTTTTGCTGTCTTTCCCTAAAAAGCAACGGGGGGGGGAGCGGTTTTATAGTTACAGAAATAAAATAACAACAACAAAAAAAAAAAAATAGACTGCTTTGGAGTCACTAATGCAGAACACTTCCTGGGTGTCAGGGGTGGACTTCCCATGAACTACCGGGCTCTCTTCCAATGGTGACATTTAAAGCACCTCATTTCAGAAGGGGGACACTGCCCGCAGAGCCATGCAGCACTCTGCACGTAAGCTGTGTGCCATCAGAACACACGTGTGCTGACACAGAAGACGTACAGCTCTAAGAAGGTTTAGGTCATTTACCCCTTACACACCTATTATTTTCAGATCGTCTATTAATATTCATGCTGACAAAGATGAGGAAGAGCCGTCCAACACACGGAACAGCTCGTGCTGGCCGAGAACGCACACTGGGCCAGGCACCTTTGGGGAATACTTACAACTGGTCCTCCTCGTAGATCTTCCTGACTATTTCGTCAATCATGAGTTTCTCTTTCAGCAGCTGCTCATAGGCCTCCTCCTTCCTCCGCTCCTGCTCTTTGAGCTGCTTCTCCAGGTCCAGGTGGTACTGCGCCTTCTCCCTGTTCCGCCGGTCTTGCTTGACGCTCTCTTCCTTCAGGAGTCGCTCGTGCTCCTCCATCATGGTCCTGCCTATCTCGGCATCACGTTTCTAGCATGAAAACAGAGCTGATCCTTCCACTTCCCGGAGTGAACACAGTTGATCACAGCACTATAATCAGACAGCTGCGCATGGGAACGCCTGCTATGTAAGTATTTTTGATCTATTAGGTTAAAAGGAAGAGTAAGTCTTTGTGACCTGGAGGCTGTGACTGACAAGTCAGGCCCTAAAGGAGTATTTTTAATCTTTCCAGAAGCTTAGGGCAACACCTGGCGAGGGTAATAAAGTCCACATTCAGAAAATAAAACGTAAAATTCAAAGTATTTCATCAATAACTAACTACTTCAGCCGCCAAACTACGGCTTCGTCTGTAAGCTGAGCTATGCGGTGTCCGTTTCTAAGGCTGCTGTTTTCCAGCTGCTGCCGAGGACCCCTCCTGCCCATCTGCCAATTGAGGGCTCTGAACAACTCTCAAGCTCCCCCAGCTGAAGCTCTTTCCTGCCACACAGCCTTCTATGTATTAAGGCTCAGTGTGGTGATTTCAACTAAAAGGTCCAACGTCACTGGGACTCTCACTCTCTCGTTTTCATTCTCGTCCACACAGCGCCACTCCCACTGAGTTACAGACAAGGCTCTCAGGGAGGTACAGCCCTTGCTTTTCTTTAGCATTTCCAAACCACTTAACCAGTACGTTTAAACCTACTGGAGTAATGACTAAACTACCCTTCGTCTGTGTGGCCCTTCACAGGGTCGCACATCAGACACCCTGCATATGAGATACTTACATTAGAGTTATGAATCTTAGCAATGAAATGACTTTAAATTAAGGGTTACAGCATTAGGAAGGTTGAGAACCACTGTTGTATAATCTTCTAGAGTAGCCTGTGACCATTCTCAGGAGCTCTCATGCTGCGCCACACTGGTTTAAACATTGTTATTACATTATAATCCTATGTGTATAAACATGTTTGCTGGCATTCACAGTCCACATGTATAAACATACACTTTTATATGTAACTGTCTGGGTGACGCCATGCACCTACATTTTGATTGCTAACTCAGCAAACCTTATTTTCATACCAGGGCCGCTGGAGTATCCCCTGGAACTTGCTCTCATGGGAGCAACCTTGCCTTCAAGAATTAGACAAGGATGAAAATAGAAAACCAGGAAAAAGGGTTACTTTAGATAACAAGAGTTAGAACGGGGGATGGAAACAGGAGCCTGGAGAAGGGGGCGGGGGCTTCTACAGCAGGAAAGCTTCTGCACAGACCCACCACGCAGTAACACTCATACAGCTGTGGTGAGCACAGCAGCCACATGCTAGGATGCAGACAGCTGTACCATGTTAGCTTGTCACAGCAAGTTCAAGAACAGTGAACGTGGGGGTCACCTGGGCCTGACAGCTCGGTGGAAATCACCCAGGGTCTGAACGTTTCTGTGGGGGACCTGGCCAAGTGGGCTCTTTGCAGAGGCCCTGCTCTTGGAACCGGGCTGAGCACAGACCCAAAGCAGCTTTACCATTTGCTCGTATTTGATGGCGTCCCTCTCGGCAATCTGGGCAGCTCTCTCCTTATTCATGTAAGCGGCTTTCAATTTCTGTTCCAATTCCCTGAGTTCAATACTGTGGGGGAAATGCAGCTTTAAACTTGAGAACAATAAAAGAATTCAGCTTCACAGAAAATCTGGCAAATTCTTATTTACTCAGGCTGTACAACTGGTATTTGAGGTTCAGAGTTAACTCATTAGATTTAACGGATTATTCTTTCCTAACTTAATCTTCCTTTACATGTATTTATTTATTTATTTTAATTTGCGGGGGTCCTTTCCTTCTACCCTAAGGATCTGAAATCAAACCCAGGCCTTCAAGCTAGGCAGCAGGTTAGTACTAAACTACCAGGCTACCACACTTTATTCTATCCTAGAGTAGTCTCTATCTTTGGTTGTCTTAGTAAAATCTTAGCAATTCTCTGGAAACTGTATCTCCTAAGTCTGGAGTAACAGTAAGACATGGCTGGCTTAAGTAATTCAATCCTAAGCAGTATTAAGAAATGCATTATAGGACGAGGAGTGTGGCACGTGCCCTAGAACCCAGAACTGGGGAAGCAAAAGCAGGTGGAACTCTGTTTGAGGCTAGCCTGCTCTACGCATGGCGTTCCAAGTCATCCAGGGCAAAACAGTGAGACCCCCCATCTCAAACAAAAACAACAACAAAAGCCAAGTATTCTAGATTCCATAAGTCAGGACTTTTGTACTTAGAAATCATTTTAACATTCATCCTTAAAGAAAAAGACCGAAGGAACTAATACTCAGATTTCCCTGTCAACGCTAACACTCCCTTCTACTGCTGCAGCTGATTTTCTCAGCTCTTTCTGTGGCTGAAGCCGTGATCCAGTGAGCACGTGTCTAGCACGTGCAAGGCCCTGGCCTCAGTAGTTGGCACCATACCAAACAAAGCAGTTTAAATGAGCGTCTTAAGCTGACGCGGTGTTTCCAGGGACAACGTTAGCTGTAAGAGCGATGATCTAAGTAAAGAGTCTCACTTGCAGGGCTAAGGGTGGCAGCGCGCAGGGACGGACTACAAATGCAAGAAGCAGAAGCCACGCCACCTGTTCTCCCGCACTTGCTGCCTCATCTTCTCGTCCTTCAGACTCTCGTGCTTTAGTCGGGCCAGCTCGTTGGCAAGTCTCTCTTCCTGCTCCAGCTGTCGATCCCGCAACATCTTGTTCTCTTCTGCCTGAACAGGAAGTGCAGCGTTAGTTACCCACATCCCTGGCTCAGACTTCTCCCCGTCAAAGCTGCATGTGTCAGAACAGCAAACTAGCCACCCTGACGGCAACAGTCGACTGTGTATTTTAAAATAAAAAATATTTCAGCCGGGCGGTGGTGCTGCACGCTTTTAATCCCAGCACTTACAGATCTCTGTAAGTTCGAGGCCAGCCTGGTCTACAAGAGCTAGTTCCAGGAAGGCTCCAGAGCTACAGAGAAACCCCGTCTTGAAAAATAATAAATAAATAAATAAATAAATAAATAAATAAATACTATTTCAAAAAATAATATTTCAAATATCTTACCAGAGAATATTGTGAGGAATAGTAACACACCTATAAATTTATGAAGGTTTTACAATTTTTTCTCTACTCTTGTATTCCATTCCATTTTTCTAATTATCTTGCTATCTCTACTACAATATTTTAAGTCAAATTCCAGGGGGCTGGAGAGATGCTCCGAGATTAAAGGCACTGGCTGCTCTTGCAGAGGACCCAGGTTTGGCTCCCAGCACCCACGCGGTGGCTCACACCATCTGTTCCAGAGGCTCTGATGCTCTTTTCTGGTTTCCTTGGCACCAGACAAGCACACAGTGCACAGATTCGTATACAAATAAATACAGCTTTAAAATAAAACATACCTTTGACCACTGCTGCCCACCAGGGAAACAGCGACATTGGATCTACCTGACAAGCAGTTCTTTTTATAACCACACCACAAGTTAGCAGTATTTTCTCAGTGAGGTCAAACGTCTTACCTACATTCATTTCCCAACCATCTCAAAGATGTCTTTATCAAAACCAAACAAGGTCCACGCATTGTATCTAGCTGTCTTTCTCAAGTCTGGTCTATTTCACACATTGGTCACCCCCACACACACACACACATACACATTTTTTATCCCCTAAACCATTGATGAGTGGCAATCACAGCCTGTCTAAGTCAGGGTTTCTGATGTTGGGATCAAGCACATAACCAAAAGCAACTCAGGAAAGAGAGGGTTTATTTAAGCTTACAGTCCCACATTATAGTCCATGATGGACAGGGACCATGAGGCAGGAGCTGATGCAGAGGACGAGAAAGGATGCTTCTTAGTGGCTTGCACCTCATGGCTTGCTCAGTCTGCTTTCTCACAGAATCCAGGACCACCAGTGGTCCATGTCATGAGCTGGGCCCACCCACAGCAACCATCAACCAAGAAAATGTACCACAAGCTTGCCCACGTGTCAGTCTGGGTCACGTTCTCAACTGGGGTTCCCTCTTCCTAAATGATGCTAGCTTGTGTCAAACTGACATAACGCTATCCTATTGTATCCCCGTGTTCTCTGGTTGCTCTCTCAGAGGTTCCCTGAACTACCTTCTCTTACACTTTCTGTGAAATGGTGGGCAGACATGGAGGCTTCATTACTTCCTGAGTTAGGAAGCACATAGCAGCGCAGGCCTGTAACCTAGAATCAGGAGGCAGAGGCAAGAAAACCACCAGACATCCAAGCATAGCTTGGTTCTTATTCTGAGTTCCAAGGCAGGGCTACATATTGAGACTGTCTCAAAAGTAAGTAAACAAATAAAACAAAAATAACGCATCGTTAGCATCAAGAAATGCAGATCAGGAACTGGAGAGATGGACCCGAGTTTGGATCCCAGCACCCACAGCAGGTGGTTCACCACTACCTGTCACTCCAGATCCAAGGGATCAGAGACCTCTGGTCTCTGAAGGCACCTGCGTTCCCATGAACATAGCCACAATGTAATCTACACAATTAAAAATAAGAAATCTTATAAAGCAAATTAAAATTACACCAGGACATCATACCATACAGACTGGAATGTCCATTTAATACACAGACACATCAGGCTTATCCAATGAAAAGATAGGCAGATAATTAGAATTTGAATTTCGGATTAAAAGAACAAAATTTAGATGAATTACTTCTTTGAAAGTGTTTCCCATGTATAGTAGACTATGTATCTAAGAATATGTAACTACGTGGTACATACTTAAGCATTATTTGTTAGTTACCTGATATTCAATTTTAACTTCTAATCTTGTGTTCTAATTTGTTTTGGCATCCTTACCCTACTCCTAAGGGTGTGTTGATCTGACCAGAGCACAGCATACTCCACAGGAATATGTAATCTAACCCAATTTTAGAAATTATCATCCTTCTAGCTCTTCCCCTCTCCTTGGTCACATGGGGATGGGCATTCCCTTCTGTATGCTGTGGAAATGTTTTATTGCCATTGGTTCATAAAGATTCTGCTTTGGGCCTCTGGAAGGGCAGAATAGAGCAAGGTGGGAATTCCAAGCAGAGATAGGGGAGAAAAGGTGGAGTCAGGGAGACGCCGTGTAGCTGCCTGCCAAAGGAGAAGTACACCACGGAACCTTACTGGTAAACCATGAGCCTCGTGGTAAAATATAAAATAATAGGAATAGGTTAATTTAAGATATAAGAGTTAGCTAAAAGAACACCTAAGCTATTGGCCAAGCAGTGTTGCAATTAATATGTTAAAAAAACAAAAACACAGACACATTTAAAAAAAAAAAAAAGACAGTGCAGATACCAAATAGTGAAAGTTTCAGGAGAAGAAAACACGTTTATTTAAAAACCTATATTTAATATAGCACAATAAATACAATAAAAAAAACAAAAAGATTTTTTAAATTTTTTTTTAAATCTGTATTTAAGCCAGGCAGTGGTGGCACACACTTTTAATCCCAGAACTCAGAGAGGTGCAGGCAGATGGATCTCTGTGAGCTCAAGGCCACCCTGGTCTACAGAATGAGTTCCAGGACAGCCAGGTCTGTTATACAGAGAAATCCTGCCTTGAAAAAACAAAAACCAAACAAACAAACAGACAAAAAACTGTATTTAAATATTTAGAGCAAATTTATTCCTAATATCCAGTATTGGAAATTCCTCACCAGGTGAAGGGTATAAGCACACTGTGGTACATCCACACTAAGGAACACTACTTGGCAATAGACACAAAACAAGCCATAAAAATAAAATGCGCATAAAAACACAAATTAAAAAAAATCTTAAGGAAAACAGGATCCCAAACAAAAAACACTTAATTGACACTATCTCTTGATTCCACGAATCAAAAGGGCATTTAGGTTGACAATCTGCTGGATTTGATTAATCAGAAGGGAATGTGTCTTGAATGAGGCCAACCTAGTCAGGAGCTCTAACCATGACCAGAAGCAGCTGGGCTCTAGGGAAGCAAACTCCACCTTGACTCCGGGGGAGAATGCATCCCAGCCAGCACCTGGGTCAGCCCGAGAGCCCGTGGGGAATCCAGCACGCCTGTGTTCGTGACTCAGTGTGGTAAACACCAGTTGTTGCAAACTAATTTTGCAAGAATCAACTACACCATGGAAAGGCACACTCTGAACTGCACTCCTCAGAGTCAGCAAGGAACTCTCCAGTCTGGAAGAGATAGATGCAGGAGACATGACACTACCCGTAACTTATGATCTTAGACTAGAAGAAGAAAACTGTACATCTGAGTAAACCCTGTAGTTCAGTAATAGAATGTTAGAAAGGCTAATTTCTCGGTGGTGATAATTTTACGGCTTTTCATCTTCTATGTAAGACACTGGCATAAGAAGGCAGGAGAGAGATTTATGAATTCTCTACACAATTTTGAACTCTTTGATCAATCCAATCTTGCCTCAAAGTAGAAAGTTATAAAATGCGTATTTCCCACATCTGTTCACCAAATAGTCCTAGAGGGAATGATAATCCGGGAAGGATGACCACTCCCACCTTGGCACAACGGCTAATTCCAGGTACGGCACAGGACATTAACAGATGAGCCCCGTGCCAGCAGGCTGCTCCAGAGTCAGCAAGCCCAGAAGCCGGAGGGTGAGTCAACAAGCTGAAGAGCTAACTGTAGCATCCTACTCCGAGTCTTATGTTGAAGAATCAGCACATGAAATACTGTACTTAGCGTTCAAGCTAATGCCAGTGAACTTAAGACACAGGAAGAGCTGATGTGACAACCAGAGTCCAAGGGAAAAAACAAAAACAAAAAACAAATCAAAAGCCCCAAAGCAGATGCCTCAGCTTGAAGGTGGCTAGCAGACAGAATTAGTTCTTTTGGCAACTAACTGCCTCTGCGCTCTAGTCAAGCCTTCAACTGACAGGATAAGACGCTCTCTTTGGGCAAACCGCTTACTCAACCTACTGATTCAAATGTTACTTTATCTAGAAACACCCAGAATAAGGTCGGCTGAGGGTCCAGTCAACCAATAAATAAAATCAACCATTGTAAGCTATTTGTTTTCTGTCAGAAAGCAAGAAAGATATCAAAGATCAAATGTGTTTTGTCAAAAGAACACAGAAGCAACATAAAAGAGCACCATCTAGCCAAGGACAGGATGCTCTAAGGACCCAAAGATACAAGAGGCTAGGAAGATGGCTCAGTGGGTAGGGGCTTGCGGCCAAGACTAAGGCTTGTGTTCAATCCCCAGGACCCACAGGATAGGAGACGTGATTCCTGTAAATGGTCTTCTGACCTCAAGATACACACCTCAGCACACTTGTTCACTCTTCCCCTCCTCCTCTACACACAGAGAGAGAAGACAGAGGGAGAGAGAGAGGGAAGAAGAGAGAGAGGGAGGGAGAAAGGGAGAGAGAGAAGGAGAGGGAGAGAGAAATGAAGAGAGAGAAAGAGAGATAGGAGGAGAGGGAGAGAGAAATGAAGGGAGAGAGAGAAAGAGAGAGAGGAGGAGAGGGAGAGAGAAATGAAGAGAGAGGGAGAGAGAAATGAAGAGAGAGGGAGAGAGAAAGAAAAATTTAAATATTTCCTTAAAGTGAATAACAGAGGCTGGGCTGTAGCTCAGTGACAGAGTGCTTGCCTTGCATACATGAGGTCCTAGGTTCAATCTCAAATAATGCCAGGGGGGAAAAACACTAACTGTGATTAAACATGTACAAAGTCCTGACGTCATAAAGATATGAACATGAGTTTTTAGAAAAGACTTCTTTTCATGCAAATCAGTGTTATGCCTGCATGTGTGTATATGCACCATGTGTGTACCTGGTGCCCACGGAGACCAGAAAAGGATGCTGTATCCCTGGAATGGGAGATATAGGCAGTTATGAACTGCCACATGGGTGCTGAGAATCGAACCTGGGCACTGCAGCAGTAACAAGTGCTCTTAACTGATGAGCCATCTCTCCAGCCCCATAAAGATATATTTTTAAAGAAAAACCAAAAAAATCAAGAGAAGAAAACTTAAAAAAAAAAACACAATGTGTGCAGAAACAAATTCATGAAAAAGTAACTATTTTCTCCACAGCATCCTAAGTCTTCCTGGAGACCTTTCTTTACAGAATACAGAAAAGATGAAGGCACACACCAAAGGAAGCAGAGACAGATCTAAAATGTACAGTCAACAGGCCTCATGTCTCCACTAGGTTAGAAACATGAAGCCACCGAAGGATGGAGGAAGAGCTGTCTGTACTAACAGAGCCTAGGTATCAAAACTATAACGGCTGCATTAACCTGGCCTGGTCCTGATGAGAAGCCAACCCTAAAGGCAGAATTTGACACAGTACTGGAATTTGTCTAAAGGGAGAGAGGATGACACTATGACAGTGTGAAAGAAAGCATCCCTGCCTCGGCAGGTGCACACCGGCAGAGTGGGGTGTGGGGGGTTTTCCTTACAGAAAAGATGGACTGTCCAGGGTCTGCCCGCTCAGAGCTGAAGGACCTGGTCTAAGTCGCTGGGACTTGGGCCAGAAGGAAGCCAGCACCCTTAGGCCCTCTTGCTATGTCCTGACCCACCCTCAAAACACTGGACACACAGTGCGCTGGTATGCAAAATTTAGCAAAACACGAGGACACTCTGTTCGCGCTTATGAGAAATGGCCTACCACTTCCCATCTGTTTCCTCTACTACAATCTCCTAAAAATATTTAGAAATGCCCATGACTGATTTAGCCAGTACATCAAGACGTAAACACATGCATATGGTGCCTGAATTCTTCAAAAATTAAAAATGTGAGTATATGTATATCTCATACACGTTCATCCCCCACTGCTTAATAATGTCCATGCTTAATGTTGGGAATTTTTAAAAAGAAATCCTTAAAGTTTTTTATTAGAAACATATAGAAGGCAACACAGTTGTACTCACATAAAAACCTGTGACGTTAGCAATTGTGGACTTCATTTATGCTTAATATCAAGAATGCTTATTCTTATCACAGACTGTTCCAAAGGTTTCACATTTGCTTATTATTAAAGCGATCCTAGGAAGGGCGTACCATATCAGATTTTATAGATAAAGCATAAAAAGGAACGACCGACCCCAAGTTCTTCAGCCAAAACAACCCGTACTCGGAAGGATTCGGTCACTTCCCAGCTTCCTCTGTTTCCTCAACTCCAGAACTGGCAGTCATCTTCCAAATTTTCCATGTGAAGAAAATTAACAATGAACACTGAAACTTACTTTTTGGATGGCTTCTTCCATGTCCAGCTCAAACTGCTCATTCTGCAGCACCCTGAGGAATCTCTTCCTTTCGACCCTCTCGTCGTTTTCATTTTGCACGATCTGGTTCCTGGTTTGCCTCTCTAACTTATTCAAGATTTGGATATGCAACGATTTGCGGAAGTTTTCATCCACTAACTTCTGGTGTCTTTCACTAAAGCTCAAAGCTCTCCTTCTGGAGGCCTACGATGCGGGGGGGGGGGGGGGGGAAGGGAAATACACATAATTCAATATTCCACGATCCGTTTTTCCAAAAGATACTGCTGAAAATCCCTATAACGAACGATGTGAAAATAGGCAACAGGCTGAAGGGTCTTTGGCCCCCTTCCTGAATTCATAGTATTCCAGATGAAAGTTCAGATGTGATAGGGTAAAATGATGACGTACTGATTAAATGGGTACTAATAACATTCCCTGTTTTGTAGGGGAAGCGGGAAAAGTTGAAGTAATTTAACTCAAAACTCAACAGTACCAATGAGAGCGAAGGTCTCCAACTGCAGCTTTACCCCCAGAGAGCCGTTCCCCCAAAAAGCAGATTTAAAGATATATCAATCTCGGTGAGAAGGGGGGAAAAGTGCAGAAAAGCCTTAGAGGTCTCTCAGAAAACAAGCCGGAACCTTCTAGAAAGCAATCAAAGTTTCTCACTGACCTCTCGGATTACACACTTCGAATTATATTTCAGAGGTAGTGAGCTCTAGACTGTATATACGCATGCAGTCTGGAGGTCCCCGATCCCTGCCCCGACCTCCGAGCTGCTCACCATCCTGGCTGACTTTAAACCTCCTCGGGCTGGGTGAGTCTCCGGTCTCGGCTGCAAACGGTGCAAACGCGCGTCTTCCTGAGCAGCAGCTGCCTCAGCCTCACTATGCGCGCTCGGGTGTTTACGCTGTGTCCCGGCAACCGCCAAAGCGCGCCGCCCACCCGAGCACAAGGCAGCCTCCCATTGGCTGGCACGATATCCAATCAGCTCTAGGAATCTTCGTTGCCAGGCAGCAGCGCGCCTTCCACAGGACCAAACCACAAGGCGCGAAGTTCGGATGCTGCGCTCTAGCAGGATCAGTTTACAACCAATGGGAGCTGATCTCCGCGGGCTGGAGCCCAGCTGAAACCTCAAGAGACACCACCACCACCACCACCAAAATACCTCGGAATTCTCACTGCGATGGACTAAGGGTGTGCCCTTCCTAGAGCGACCCCAGGCGGTAGCGAGCTACCCAACTGTGGGTGCTGGGAGCTGTTCGGCAAGGATCTTTTTAGGAGGTGTGGCTTTTCTGGAAGAGGTGTGCCATTGGGGTGTGACTATATCCAGAATGCTCACTCTTTCTGCTGCTTACAGATCTTAATGTGAGCCCTGAGCCTTTCTTGCTTCTATGCCCCCCCCCCCTTCACAGGCATGGACTCTAGCCCTCTAGTACTATAGGTCAAATTAAATGCTCTCATGCTCTCTCTCCCTCTCTCCTTCCCTCCCTCTCTCCCTCTCTCCTTCCCTCCCTCCCCCCCCTCTCTGTTTTTATGAGACAGGGTTTCTCTGCATAGCACTGGCTGTCCTGGAACTCTCTATGTAGACCAGGTTGTCCTTGAACTCAGAGATTCACTTGCCTCTGCCTCCCGAGTGCTTGAATTAAAGGCGTGTGCCACCACTGCCTGGCAATACTTTTTCTTATAAGTTACCTTGATTAGAGTGTTTTATCATTGCAATAAAAAAGTTATTAAGACACTCAATGATATAAGCCTGACTATTTTTAAACAAATGAGCATTAAACACAACCTACAAAAATCTATACGAGAGGTAGCTAAAGATTAGAGAAAAATTAATAATATTTGTTCTTAAAATAAATGTTTTCAAATATTTAAGCCTTTACATTAAGGAACTGTAAAAATAAAAACTACACCAAAAGCAAACAGAAGGAAGGAAATACTGATGGTAAAGGAGAAATCAGAATTAAAATAGAAAAATGAAACAAAAAGCATGTCTTCAGAAAATAGAGATAAAATTGCTATCAACTTTATAATTCTCACTGGGCTAGTAAAGACCACTACCTCTGAAAAGTGATTTCAAGGGAGTACTGTCTCTACATGCAAAATAGTAATATGACCTCAACCATCTGTTCACTGATAAGTTCTGGGAGCTGCTTTAACTGCCTGGAATAGTTAAGGTTGAAGAGATAGTTTGCTGGTGACAGGTCAGTGAACACGGTTTATGAGAATCTGCACAAGCCAAAGCCATGAGAAACAAAATGAAGAAAGCAGGGGCATTGTATGCCAGGCTTCCATGACATACTGAAAAGCTCCTGTAATCAAATCACGTGGAACTGTCATTCAACACGGCTTTATGGACCAATGCAACAGAACAGAGGGCCTGAAGCAAACCCACTATCTGCAGGCCACTGCTGCTCAACATGAGAGCCCCCCAAATCCACTACGTGAAGGGCAGTCTTTTCAGTAGGGGTGCTCAGGGAACCGGGTGTCCATGTGTAGAGGAACATGCCTAGACATGTCTAACGAAAGAGACATAAGAGGCCACCATGGACACATATCTGTCCCAACATCTCTAATGATTAAGGATCTGGGACACGCAAGTCAAACCTGCAATGAGAGGTCACTTCACCGCAGCAAGAATGGTTTTCAAAAAGACTACAGCTGGTCAACATCGCTGAGAGCACAGAGGAAGGGCAGCGCTTGTCCACTCTGGATGGCAATGTGAATTAGTATGGCCACTACAGAACACAGTATTGAGGTTCCCCCAAAGTTAAAAGTAGAACCGCTGTCTGATCTAGCAATATCCCTAGTAGGTATATATTTAAAGAAAATGGAATCAGGATGCTGAAGAGGCCGCCGAACTCACACATCGTGGTAACACCCTCTGTCTGTCAACTGAGAGATGGACAAAGTCACAGAAGAGAACAAAGCCTTGTCATTTATGACAGTGTGGATGGAACTGGAGATGTCTCCTGAAATTCTCTAGGTGCTAGACACAGACATTGCATGACTGGAATGGGCCTGGAGAGATGGCTCAGTGGTTTGGAGCACCTCCTGCTCTTGCAGAGGATCTGGGTTTGGTTCCCAGCACCCACATGGCAGCTCCAGTAATCAATTCTAACTCCAGGCCCAGGAGAGCTGATACCATCCTCTGGTCTCTGTGGACATCAGGCATACAAGTGGTACAGAGACACACATGAAAGGAAAGCACCCATGCACATAAAATAAAACCAAATCTCAAAAAATTCTTAGCAAGACAAAAAGAAGACAGTGTATGATTGTGTGAATGTGAGAGACACAGTTTCTCAGTAGCTTCGGAGCCTGTCCTGGAACTAGCTCTTGCAGACCAGGCTGGCTGCAAACTCACAGAGATCCGCCTGCTTCTGCCTCCCGAGTGTTGGGATTAGAGGCATGCGCCACCACCGCCCAGCTCAGTTTCCTTCCTTTAATCTCTGATAAAGAATATGTATTACAATTTTTTAAACAATCTTATTTTACATAACCAATCCAGTTCCCTCTCTCTTCTGTCCTTCCAGTCCCCCCGTATTACAACTTTTTAAAAAAACTATTATTTGTCTTTATTTTATGTGTATGTGTTTGCCTGGCTGTATGTATGCATACCAGGTGCATGCAGTGTCCACAGGGGCCAGTAGAGGGCATCAGATTCCTCCTAGAACTGTAATTATAGGTGGCTGTGAGCCAGCATGTGGGTGCTGGGAATGGAACCTGGGTGCTCTTAACCATGGATCTATTTCTCCAACTCCTGCACTACAACTTTGACTCTCAATTTTGTTTTCCCGAAGATCCCCTCGTGTTTTCCTACTAATTTGGTACCCCCCAGGGTTATGCCGTTTACAAACTGGACCAGTGATCATTTACATTTTCACCTGTCCTTTTTGTTTGAGACAGGGTTTCTCTGTAGCTTTGGAGCCTGTCCTGGAACTAGCTCTTGTAGACCAGGCTGGCCTAGAACTCAAAGAGATCCACCTGCCTCTGCCTCCTGAGTGCTGGGGTTTTAAAGGCCTGCACCACCACCACCACCAGGCTTCCATTTTCACCGGTCTTATGGTGAAAGGCAGGCTAGATCTGGAAGATCACAGCTCTGACCTACATCAAGGGGCATCTCTCCCAACAGAAGGAGACCAGCAGCCTTTGAGTCTGCCCTGCCAGTGGGTGCTTTGACTTCAACAGTGTGCTTCCAGGATGTCTATATGATTTTACTAGGAAAATGTTCTAAAAAGACTTCTCCAAAGCCCAGGTAAGCCATACTTTCTTAATTCCCTTTATCTAACAAGACTCAATTGATTTCTCAACACCAAATGATCTGCCATCCTGGCTGTGTGCGGTGGAATCGCCACTGTTCCCTTGAATGTCCACAGACCAATATAAATGTCTTTTTAAAAAACTGACATTGAGGGAAAGGACTGCAAAGGAGAGTGGGGGGAATCAAAGAAAAATTTTTAAAAATTTAAAAATTGACATTGCATAAATCTTGTCACTCATGGAGAGCACAGTGCCGTGTATTGCTAACTTGAACAAAGAGACATATGAATGGTACTCATGCGTTAGTTTGGCCAGGAAATAGTTTTAACTTAGAGACCAGATCATTAATCAAAATGTACACAGTATTTCACTCATCAATACACAGATATCAGCTTAGTCAGGCAATTAAATATATCCATAACATTCCCTTTGTAAAAATACATAGCTAATATTTTAGAATACTATCTACAATAGTCAATAGTTCGACTGCATTGCTAATTGTCTGAATTTATCAAAACATGCTCAGCACAGAGCCTTAGGCATAAAATATCTTGACAAATGTAGTTGAAAGACTGATTGGCTAGACATTTAAGACAGGGTAATCTGCGTGTTAGGATGATCAGAGGTATAAATTCAGAAGAAGAGCCTGTGTGGGAGGAAGGAAGGGCATCATGTGTAGACAGGGTTATGGAACTGAAGAGCCAGGAGAGCTTTTACAGAGCTGACCTACAGAGGGGATTTACAGACACAGAGAGAAAAGCCAGAAGGCAGTGGGGTCTGGCCAAGTGGTGGTCTCAGAGTGCTCACACGGTAGCAGCAAATGACACAATGGCCTCACAAGAGCAAAGGTGAGCCCCAGGAGAAGGCCACACGTGAGGACTTGAGCTGAAGCTCTTGAACCACATAAAAGCCAAATGCATTGAGGGAACCTCTGGAATCCAGCACTCCTATAGGGAGATGGGACAGAGCCAGGAGAATCCCTAAAGTTCATGGGTCAGCTGGCCTGGTGCACACAGTAAAGACACATAAGAGGGTCTCAAACAAGGTGGAAGGCAAGGACTGACACCTGAGGTTGTCCTCTGACCTCCACCGGTGCCCTTGTGCCCACACAGCACACAAATACACACACACACACACACACACACACACACACCATGTATGCGAAAGAAGAAAGCACTAAAGGTGAGCCCATAGGCGATTGGGAGAGCACATGAATGCACTCAAGGAACAGCCTTTGGGGTTGGGGATGCACGAAATGTTAAGCCAAGAGTGAGAGGAAAAGGCCATAAACAGTGAACAAAGCTAAGCCCGAGCTTTCAAACAAGGTCGAGAGCTGCAAGTCTCTGGTATCTTATACCTCTGTTCTGAACCCGCTCTTCACCCTCTGTGTAAAAGGGCGCAGTGTAGGGTCAGGCACACAGCCTGCTGTGTCCTTCTCCCCAAAGGGTCAGAGTCTCTATAGTGATGAGCCCAGGTTTAGGGACAGTAAGCATAACACAGGCACTTGAGTGTTAATTAGAATTTAACACCCAGCAGCACTGCACAGCCTTTCGGCAAATGCGTACTCTTCCATCAGTATTTACCCATCTCACTGAAGACTTTCAGCTCGCAAAGGGATCTTAGTCATGGC